CCTATCCCCTCCTCCCACCTCAAGCCGCACCTCCATCTCCTACCGACTAACCTCATCCCGCCCCCTTGACCTGTCCGTCCTCCCTGGACTGACCTATCCCCTCCCTAACTCCCCAGCTACACTCACCTTTACTGGCCCTATCCCCACCTCTTCGACCTGTTTGTTTCCTCGCCTCTATCCATCTTCTATCCACCTCCCACTCTCTCCCTATTTCTTTCAGAACCCCCTTCCCCTCCCCCTTTTCTGATGAAGGGTCTAGGCCCGAAACGTCAGCCTCTCTGCTCCTATGATGCTGCTTGACCTGCTGTGTTCATCCAGCCCTCCACCTTGTTGTCTCGGATTCACCAGCATCTGCAGTTCCTACTATCTTTGAAAATATTGCATTTGGTTCCCTGATCCAAGTAATTAAATACGTATTGTGAATAGCCAGGGCCCGAGCACTGATCCTTGCGGTACACTGCTAGTCACCATCTGCCACTCGGAATATGACCTATTTATTCCGACTTTCCATTTAAGGCCTGTCAATCAATTCTCAATCCACATTAGTGTATCACCACCAATCACGTGTACAATTTCCACATTGCAATCAGGATCAGCAAGGCAGGATAATGGTTTAAACTTCCTTGGACTCGGACAACTGAGATCAGTAAAATATCCAAGTCCACAGCTTGACAGCTTAGGACTATCCAAAACCAAACCTGGGATTTTACTTCTCCAGGTATCTTATTTAGCCCCTTCGGCAGAATCCTGCCAGTATCTTTTGCAATCAACATTTCAATTTGAAGATGACGACGAAACAAACCGGAAATTTAGCAAACAAGATTTATCAACTGGCTGACTCACCTTCATAAGGTACTGTTCCTTGACCCTTGCTCTGTCATAGCTGACATTGTGGCCAATGACCAGTCTCTCTGGCCATTCATCTCTTCGTGGACGCGTGGAATTTGCACTTGTCTCCAGGGGAATGAGATCAGTCAGGGTCAGTTGATTGGACCATGTGTAACGCGTCTCAATGAGACGCTTACTGCACCAGGAGTACCTGAAGATAGGTAAGACTAATATAGAATCCGATCTGAACACAAAACGGATTTGCACATGAAACATTATAACTGAAGCTTTACTTTCCCCTCCTCTAAGGTAGCATGCTTCAAATTCAAAACCATTGACACTGTCCATAATCCATAACCTCCACCAAATGTATATTCTTCGATTACAAGGAATATTCAAGAAAGGTAAATGATTCCCTGCCAACTTGTGCACCAAATCAAAATGGGAACAGGTAGGGGAAACTAGTGTCTGACAATTCTCCAACTCTCAAAGTGATCAGTCGCACATCCCTGCATCAGCCTAAAGGATCCCTCCACAGTGCTTGAGGAAGGATGTACTGGCAGTGGGGAGGGTGCAGAGGAGGTTCACTAGTTTGATTCCAAAGTTGAGGGGGTTGGCTTGTGGTGGAGGGGTTGAGCAGACTGGGACTATATTCATTGTAATTTAGAAGAATGAGGAGGGACCTTGTAGAAACATATAAAATTTTGAAGGGAATAGATATGATAGAAGCAGAGAGGTTGTTTCCACTAGTGGATATAGGTTCAAGGTGTGGGGGAGCATATTTAGGACTCAGTTGAGGAGGAACTTCTTCACCCAAAGGCTTGTGAGTCTGTGGAATTCCTTGCACAGAGAAGCTTTTGATGTTACCTCATTGAATGTCTTTAAGGCAACAATAGATAGATTTTTGAACAGTAAGTAATTAAGGGTTACGGTGAGCGAGCGAGCAAGTGAAGCTGAGTCCACGAAAAGATCAGCCATGATCTTACTGAATGGCACAGCAGGCTTGACAGACCAGATGGCCTACTCCTGTTCCTGTTTCTTATGTTGTTAGCGTAGCCATTCAAAGCAAAGTAAGGATCCATCAACTCTGTCTAGTGTGACGTGGGTGACCTCTCAACTAAGCGCAGGAAGAACAGGTACAGTGGATGAGGTGGAAGGACCTAACATGTTAGTAGGATAATGGCTCAGGAGGCAGAGACCAGGAAGCTGTATAAAACATCCAAGACACTATGACAACGCTTAGGTGGTAAATGACCAGTCACCCATCAAACCGAGACCTCACACAGTATAAGTTACACTGTTAGTTATATAAAGCCATAGCTTAATGTGACATACCACGACAGCAAATCTTCTGACAAGGATAAGAGGACAAGGTTACACAGTGAGTGTAAGCAAACTACAGTGGACAATCGGAATATGATCACCCATCCAGTTCCAGATACTAGTCAGTGGTCTAGCAGGAACCATGAATGACACTGTTTTCTGGTAAGGGTCCCAAAGTAGTGGGTGGGACTGTGGACTGGTCTTTAATTTATTAATTCTGATGTTTCATCAAGCCTAAAATCGATAAGAATTAAAGTTGCCTTTATCGATTGTAAGAATACAATGTGACTGGGGAAGTTTCAACTACCTTCAAATAGCCACTGACTCATTTTGCAAAGAAAAGTACACAAACTAGTACTAAGTTCGCAATGAAACTGCAAGTGGTCATGAGATAAAGCATGTCCAAGTCTGGAGGTTAGGGAGCTTTACTCTGTATCTAATTAGTGATACGTTATCCTGATATTTATATGCAAAAATGGATTCATTTCTAACTAGGGAGGATAAAATTCCTCTCTCTCACCAATGTCTAAATTCTTACCAGTGACTTGGAGAGACAGCTACGGCTAATGTTGGACACTGGCTCTCGGAAGCGCACACCTCCACGTCAAACACTAGTGCCTTGTCATCAGGAAAGTCCACAGGGTTTGTTCGTCCAGCCGGATCATACTTTGTCCAGCCAACTGCCCAGGTCCACTCTGTGGGCATTTCAGGGAGGTCACAATGCACAAGTTCATGGGCTGCCTCCAAGTAAGGGAGGCTTTGCTTCTGAGCAAGGATACAAAAGTGTTCATCAATGTTGCTACCGTACATCTTGGGCAGCTGCAGTTCCACATCGGGCAGGATGGAGGTTTCCTGGTTCCAGAGGTCATGAGATTTGAGGTGTTCAATGCTCTTCTGGACTGCCTCATCAGAGTACTCAACCTGGATATCTCCAAAGATCTGCTGATGGAGACCACTGGACAACATCTGGATATTTAATGGATTCATACGGGTCTGTGTTTCCTTGTGACCGGCACATTCTTTTCTGTTGTTGTGTGTAGCACAACTGTTGGCCCATCTTGATAATGTGACCCTCCATTTTGGGAGTAATACTGCCAGAGATGTCCTCTTCAATAAAAGATGGTTCATTCTATCCCTCTCTCAGCATTCCTACTGTGCAAGAAATGGGAAAAGAAGCAAGGTGAACAGATTTTCATTCTTTACACATTCCACTTTCAAATAAAATAAAGAAAAATAGCAAAATAAAAGCAGAAAATGATTTTTTAAAAATTGCTCTCGCTACTACACCAAGTTTTATTGCCCCACCCACCCAGTTACTGTTATATGGAGAAGTAACAGTTCAATTAAAAATATTACGTGAAACAAAAGATTATACCAAAGCTTTACATCTTGGAATTTATTCAGAGAAATACAATAATGTGATGAAGTTTCAACAATTTTCAAAATGATAATTTATGCTGCAGGAGGAAAGGGTGCCGATTTGTTGGCAAATTGTCCCTGGTTGGCAGAGATGTTGCCATGGAGAAAGCAACAAGCAAATACAGAGTCCATGTTTTGCACAGATTGGGTCCCTATGTACGTTGCTTCCTGTAAGCATAAATGAGCCATTGGAAACTGACTGGTTATCCTTAATTGATTGTTTGTACAGCTATTAGCGCACTCAAGCCTTGTTCAACATGGGTTGCCCAAATGCAAAGTTATATTTAACAGCAGAATTGTGAATTAATCAACATCCTTTTCACTTGCAGTATAAATTGTTGTGCTTTTGAAATTTGGCATTCTCGCATTTGTCCTGACAAGTGCAAGATGGGAAACTTGTCTCTTTTACAGCAATGTTCAAATTAAAAATAGCAATGATAAATTAATAATGGCACTGTGCTGACCTGACCGCTCACTTAAAGACCGCAGTGCAAACTCCACTCATCAGCTGGTAAACCTTGTGTAATCAGGGCAGGGGCAAACACTATGCCATTCTCCACTTTGCAAATTCCCATCAGACACTGGTGGGACAAGATTCCTTAGCATAAGGTAGGATGATTCAACCTGGGATGCCTTCAAGCTAGTCTTCTGCATGTCTTCATAACGGAGAATGATGGACGATGTAAGGAGGCGGGATCGATATACTATGGGGCGGATCCAACAAAGAAAATCCTGTTTTTCTGATGAAGAGTCTAGGCCCGAAACGTCAGCCTTCCTGCTCCTATGATGCTGCTTGCCCTGCTGTGTTCATCCAGCTCTACACCTTGTTATCTCAGATTCTCCAGCATCGGCAGTTCCTACTATCTCTGTTCATGTTTTATTGGGCTGCAGGGTGTTACGATAGATTTCATAAACACGAATATTCCAGGGGTTTTAATCAAGCTCTGACCAGTCTCTCATATCCAAAAATATAAGTAAAATTCTCAGCATACTTCACATTGCCAACATCATTTTTGGACTAAACGAGGCCTTATTTTGAAACGCCCTAAAGTATCCAAATGTAAAATTAAACACCAAACGTATGAGTTTATTAAAAAGAAAGTAAAAGCCTCATGTTTGCCTAATGGCGTTTGGTGAATGTGTTTGGCAAAGGGGGCTTGAAAAGCATTTAATTAGCACCAAAGCATTGGGAGACCCCGGGTTTTGATCACTCACTTGCCCGTCTTTAATTCTGATTCCCTTTCCTGGTCCCTGTAATCCCGTATCCATTGACAAGCCCCGTCACTCCTAGCCCGCTCTGCCCACATCGCTCTCTCTTGGCAGAGATGAAGCTGACTGAGTTTGCCTCCTCTGTGCAAACTGGAAACCCGAGGCTACATCCTTACAGTAGCAAAACGTACGAATCTGAATACTGCACTAACAACTGCAATTTGCAGCTGTGAAGTTCCGCAACGTTCGCCAGCCCCCGAAATAAAAGTTGGGAATTAACTCATTTTTTTAAAAAAATGCATTCAGTTCACTATAAACCCAAGTTATTTTTAGCGTCTCAGTTAAAAAGTGTTACAAATGTATAGACCAAACTGTAATACTCACTCGGGTCTTAGTTCAAACTATACGTAAGTCAGCAGAATAAAACCTTCCCTCGTGTGTTTCCAATCAGTCTAACTCCGATTCCTGACTTTGGAGTCCGTTCATGTGAAACTCACAGTCAATGATACACACACACACACACCGGCCTGTAACTAATCACATGCACGATTATAAAACACTGACCATGGCCCGAATGCAGAGGAGGAAAGGAAACGATGGCCACAGATGAAGCATTAGGAGCCTCTCACTACACTGCCATCTACGGGACTGTGAAGAATACATTTCAAACGTGCAGGGCTGGATGAACACAGCAGGTCAAGCAGCATCATAGGAGCAGAGAGGCTGACGTTTCAGGCCTAGACCCTTCATCAGAAAAGGGGGAGGGGAAGGGGGTTCTGAAATAAATAGGGAGAGAGTGGGAGGTGGAGAGAAGATGGATAGGTGGAGAGGAAACAGACAGGTCGAAGAGGTGGGG